ATCTGAAAGTGAATGGTAGTATGATATTTCGAGATGAGTTACATTTGAGCAATAAACTGGCGTTTGCTTCCTACGTACTAACTTTATGAATTCTTTCAATTGAGAGAGATCCTTTGCATGTTCTATCCTTATGAATTTATTTAATTGAGGGTGATCCTTTGCACAGTAATTTTTATAATCATTTGGAAGAGATTGCTCAGGATATAAGTCTTTCTCTCTCAATTCGATACGCTTTCACAGAATAGGTGCACTGCATCTGTACCACAATCGGGAAACATATAGAGCAGGATAGATGGATTTATCTATCAATAAGAAATATAAAATATGTTCTAGTACTTCTGGTAAATAAAAGATAGTTAAATGCGTTATGCGAAGCACCTCTGGCTAAATAGTCTGTATTATATATTGTATCTTTAATCGAAAAAATAAATTAGCCGAGCTGATAGTGGTCTGAAAAAACTGGATTCAAATCAGATCTACCAGATGGAAAAGTAAAACAGGTGTTCCCTCGCCTGTTCTCGAGACATTGGATCACTTCAGATCGAATCAAATTTAGATCACTATCGGTTAGTATCTGCAATTTCAGATAAAGTGAAACATCTAATTTAACTAAAATTACATATAACCTATTTAGAGGATTCGAAGGTTCTATATGGGCAAACTGGATCTTTGCCTCTTGATTGAGGCCTCTGAAGAAACCTTTTTTCATCTCTGCTTTACGTAAGTCCAGACCTGATAATGAGGTGTATTCCTTATATTCCTTATACGCCTCAAAAAATTCATTTAGTAATTAGTTATCTTGAATCGGTGCTGGGCTATCTTTATCTTTTTCAGGTTTCAATGCCAGAGAAGTTGGAAGTCAATTTTGATCCAGCCAATTAAATGTATCGTATCCTTTAGGTGACAGGCTATCTATTTTCATAATGGGTTAGTTTTTATAGTTACTGTATCTTTAATTAGAAAAAATAAATTAGCTGAGCTGGTGGATCACTGCTTTAGATTAGTTAAATTAGTAGAGTACCACCATTCCGTAGAGGGCTGTGTTAATTCCTAACTAAGAAACACAGAAATAATATTCTAAGCACCACCAGCCTGTCTAAGATAATCATTAAATGCAGTAATAAAATTATTCAGAGTTTCAGCCATGCTCATAATCATCGGAGGAGGTACATCATTATCATAGGCAACTTTATCCTCTGATTCAAAGCTAGATGGTTCAGACTCTGATTCAGTTTCAGAGCTAGAAGATTCCAAATAGGAACAGTAATAATCTTCAACAAAATTTTCGATATGAATATTGGGATTTAGCTGGTCTATGGCTTTTTTCCTAATATTTTCACACCCTTCCAAATCAAGATGTTTTAAATTGAGAGATGAGCGAGCAATTCTTTGATAGTCATACTGATAATATTACAGCAACTAAAGTTGAGATGTTGGAGCTTTGGGCAGGAACGTATAACATTACAAATTGATAGTTTGCTAACAAATGAACAGGAACTTAGGTCAAGGTATTCTAATTTATGGCAAGAATAGGCCAGTGCTTCAGTAACCTTATCACCAATATCATTATGTCCGATCTCTAAATGTCTTAAATTCAGAGATGCTTTGATGATAGCACAATTAATGCATTATTACGGAAAGCCATGACACCAACAAAGTCAAGATACTCTATGCTGAGACATCTCTGTATTAACATACTAGCATCTTTGACATCCCCCTTACTATATGCAATATCAAGATTTCGTAAATTTAAGCATGAGTTTAAGATGCAACTTATAGATTTATCTGTGATCCGACGTGTTTCAGCAAAATGGAACTCTTATAAATCATGACAATTATCTGCAATTACAAACAAAGATTCATTGGTAATATTCCTGCAGTAAGAAATATTTAGATGTTCTAAGTTACAGCATGATCGTACGATCGCACATAAGCCTTTATCAGTTATTACTTGAGTGTTTCACAGATTGAGATATCTCAAATTAGAATACAATTTCGCTATTATAAATAGTGATCTATCACCAAAACCTATACTTTCTTTGAAATTTAAATGAATTATATTCAGGAATGTATCTACAATATTTTTTATTTTTCTATCTAAAAGCGAATGGTAATAAGTAATTTCTAGATGGGTTACATTTGAGACATAAGCTGGCTTATGCTTTTCGCACATTATTTTTACAAATCTTTCCAAATGAGTACAGTCTCTCTCTTGATAGGTATAATCGTCTGGAAAATAATGGTAACATTTCAGGTCATTCCCCTTTAGTTTAATATATTTCCATAAGCTAGGAATAGCATATCTGTACCATGATTGGCAAACAAATAGAACGGGATAGAGAGATTTATCTATCACTAAGAAATATAAAATCTGCTCTAGTAATTCCTGTATATTAAAAATGCTTGTATGGGCCATAAATAATATATGCTGTATCTTTAAACAAAAAAATAAAATTACACAATTACTGCTCCGGGCTAAGTCTTTCCACTATCTCATCTAACGTAAGTACTTCTAGCCCATCCAAAAGAACTTTAAATGCATTCTCAGGTGATAATCCTCTGAGGAATAGATTTTTAAGAAGCCATTCTGGATAGTCATTGCTTAAATTACACTCTTTCAGTTTCGAATAAAATTCCTTTACTGTATAATTACCTTGAACTATTCTCCCAAATAAAAATTCCTTTCTTTTGGTCCATTCAAGATTCGCCTCTCT